ATGATTTCTGTTAACATTTAGTTCCAGATCACCACACACTTCTAATGCACAAACTAACATACGTGTTTCGTCCATGACTAAAAAGAGTGAACTGAACTATGTTTTAATAGAGTACAGAAAACTGGGAAACCCCAACAGGAAGCGGTTCATCCGCCCCGTGTGGCCAGGCACTTCGCGCGGCTTAACTTCGCGCGAAGATAAGCCGCGCGGCTTAAATTCGCCTCGTGTGGCCGGGGCCTTAGTGTTTATTCGTTCCTTGACTCTGACCAATGAGCACCAGACGTGATGTAATGTATGTATGGCACCATGTGTGGGCGATGCACGACAATACACTGTGTTCTATAATGACATCAAGTATCCGTCAGATGGCCTCAGGCTTCTCATGGAGCTAACACAATCTGCGTCGAGCCGCAGTTAATTTCCTTGTATAACGTGGTTAAGCCTTATATACATCCACTTCCATCCTACAAATGACGTGTAAACTCGTTAACGAAGAAACTACTTTATTTTTAGTTCTTACAACCTTTCCAAAACGTGTTAACAGTCTGCAATCAATGTTCTTATGTAACTACCAACTCGCCAATAACGGTTAAGCCAAGTAAACCAGATTGTACAAGTTAGTTGTGGCAAACACTGTTCTGTGCTGCGTTGGTGCTGGTAAACAGGAAGCCTAATATAGGACCAGAGTTGACCAGGATGTTCCGATATATTTGTTTACAGCACAGAGACTGAGCGCTGGGGATTGATCTCGAATAAGTGAAACGCAAATAGCCAGAGGGCCAATATTCCGGTAAAAGCCAAGTCCTATTGGAATTCTATTTCGGAAATACTGTATTTCTGTATGTTTTACGTATCTTGTTTTGTAAGTCTATTCTGCATTTATCTTTGTAAAAAGGATGCCTCAGCTTACAATGACGTAATAAAAATATGTAGAATCTAGTAAATAACATTAGATTAGCTGATTAATTATTTTATTATTTAGGTTAATAGCACAGACAAATCGCATCCTTGCCAACCCATCCGTTGTAGTTCAAGATGTTAAGTAATAGGATACATTTTTATCATTCATTACTAAACGATTCATCAAACTACATTCATAAACATTTGTTAGATACCCAGTCAACAGCAATGAGTGAACGAGTAAAATGTTTTTTTTTTACCGGTAAATCTTCAATTCCTTTAATTATCAAGTTGTGATGCCAATTGTTAATCCGCATAATCAAGTCGTTAGGTATTCAAAGTTTTGCGATGCATTTTTGTTACTGTTTTCTCCTATACGGTAGACGATGAGAGGTTACACCAATACTCTTTCATTGTAGCTTTCTCGACAAAATCAATTAATGGAAAATTTGTACATGTGCAAGGTTTCATGAAATATAATCTACTTAATTTACTCGTTTAAAGTTTATTAGTTGGGTTTCTCTTAATTTACTCTAATGAATAAAAACTTGTTAGGACCTCACTGTTAATTAACACATATTTGGACACAGTATACGAAATTGTTTCTGGTTTCCATTAAACACAAGCTTATAAGAAAAATCAACAGAGCCAGAGAGATATAGATAGAGTATAAAGAGGACCTGAAAGAGATAGGGAAGTGATGCGTTATTAACTGGAAAGCTTCGGCAACAATGCAATTGAGCAACTGAGCGCTGTGTCTGTCTTGTTTATGTTGAACATCGTTTGAAACATTCGGCGATCTTTACAAACCTGGTCAACAAAAACGTACGTTGTTCTGTTTAACAGTTGTACACTCTGAGAAACATCCAACAAAAGGTTTACTGTTTGGTCTATATACAAAAGTTATTCTTAGGTTATATTTCCTCACCCCAAATGGCGTAAAGATTTGGAAAACAGAACTAACAAATATTACTGTAAACGTAAATCCAAACACGAGGCCGGCTAGCCCTTCTGATAGGCTTTCTCAGTAGAACCCATAAATTTAATGAGCCTCCTTATCTAATCGGTATTACCCTTGCGCAAACATTGTGTTTGAAATCACTGCAGTCGTACCTTTCTTATCAACCGTTTGTCCTTTTAAATCACTGGAAATTGGTGAACAATAAATCTTACCGAAGGAATAGTTTAGGTTTTTTTTTGTATTTAGTTTATTCTGGTAACACTTGTGTAAACTAGTGTGCAACAATAAATCTTGCATTTTTGAAAGAATAACATTGAAAAGGAGGTAATTTCAGGGGGGAAATAATATTATTGTTGTTGTTGAAGTCTACATATACAATTTCAGAAAATGAATTTAAATTCGAAACATTGTATGATACCAGATGTCGTTGCAAGCTACATTAACCAAATATATTTATTGAAGCGATTTAATATGGGCTACTAAAAAGCTATAAAATACTATACTTACCCAAAATGGTTACAGTCCATTCTAAATAATCTGGTAGCCTACTGTTTTTAACTTTTTTTACCTGAATACCTACACAATTTAATTCCCAAAAATATAAGTTTACCTTAAACTATTGTGAGATTTTTCTTGTTATTTTAAAACTATTTTGCGACCCTGTTAGTTTCGGCCCCGACAGTGGTCAGTGATGTATTCAGCGCCAGCCTGTATGGCCACAGTTGCGGCAGACGCAGTTTTATCAGCCGGTTTATGGTCGCAGTTTTCACCACGCACATTGCCAGCTAATGGAGTGTATTGTGTTTGTCCCCTAGTTTTGTTTACCACAGTCCAGTAAAGGAGCAACAATGAAATACAACGACATTTTATAAGTGCTCCAATGTACCCTGAGTGTTTGTCAATTTCTTGACTAATTGTACATTTTTGACAATTTAGAATTTTTTGAAATCCATTATCAACGATAATATTTAGAAATGTTTTAATTGACACCGATAAAAGTTTAAGTACATTGTTTATAAAGAGAAACTACATAAACAAACTAATAAATACAACTTCATAACAATGACGGACGACTTTTTTAGCCAAGATACATTCGTGTGTGCGTTTAACACCCTTATTACGCAGAGGCCACTGCGGTGGTACGTGATGGCGTTCTATGTACTTATACATCGTTTGTCTGTTTGATATAGGCCTATATAAATGTATAGTTCAATGTATAGTATTAGTTAAATACGTTCCACAACCACCATTAATATACATTTAAACCTGCCCACTGTAATCAAGCCTGCTACAACTGCAATGCTGCAATAGTACAGCTACGAGCTCCCTGTCTACTTGTACTGTGTTGTGTAGGTGAACAAGTTCGACATTGTAGGCCTACACGTAGCCAGCTGTTCTTTAAATATGTAGGTACTCGTATTTAGTACCTCCGCCCCGGCAACCACTTAGTGGCTCATAAATATGCACACAAGAATGTATCCCGGCTACAACGACGTCCGTCATCGTTCAAGAGTTGCACTAATCTTTTTGTTTCTGTCGTTCACATCTGTTAAACAAATCGTACGTATTACTTTCAGTCACATAACTACAACATCTCAATATAATACTCGTTCATAAGAGACTTCAAACTATGTTAAATTTTTTTGCGTATTTATTTCGTTATTCAAGGTGTCGTTATCTTCGCTATAACTCCGTCCACGACACATCTTTGTTTAAAAGTGTCACTTATCATTTTGTTTTATCGTTTCTTTGTGAAAAATCGTCCCCATAATTTTGTATCGTTGTACTTAATTCGTTGATAAGGGACAACCCATGTTACATGGTTATATTTGGGCATAGCGTATTTACCTTGAAATCGAAGAAATTCTCAGAATAATTCTTGTCAAAGAGTGATTCAAAACATTACTGCATTAGTAGATATGCTCTCTAAAATCTGTTAACTATCAAACGTTTGATTTATTAACATTTGACCTCGGTCACATTTTAAACCCGAGACAAAACACTTTTTGAAAATGGATTTTATATGGGTTACTTTTTGATAAGAGTAACCTAATAATTGAGGTAGGTAAATCACTCTTGATCAACTCATGGCGAATTATTAGTTTTATTCACCTAATCTCCTAGTATTAAACATACATAATCTTTAATAGTAAAAGTGTATTCAACTATTTGTTTTGCCTGGGGGACGTTTTAAAACCCTAATAAAATGCTCAATTCACTTCAATGCACTTCTTGTCTCCTCAATTCTTTTAAATCAAACGTTATGCGAGACTGGTTGTATCTTTTATGTAGGGAGTGGTTTATACCAATTTAATGGCCAAAATATAATAATATTATTGGTGTGAAGGCATTGCATAACAGCAGCCAAGAGCGGTCTAGATTATTATAGATGGTAAGGAATGGTAGGGTTGGGTAGGGATGGGTAGGGGAGGCCACTTAGCGGGACAAACAAGACCAAAGGAGATCGCCGCCACTTGTCATCCCTACTGACACACAGGCCTGCGCTGCTGTCAGAAACTGCTGTTTTCATACACGTTTTTTATATTCATTAGTTGTAGACAAAGATGCTTAAACAATTTTAAATTTCAGGAAGCACAATATAATAATGGAACATGTTTTAACAGTCGTTTCATCAAGGATACCAAGAAGTAATATATTCATTTTACTTTAATATATTATAAAGTGTTTCACTACCTGTGGCAGGCAGAGGCCGCTGTGGTGACGTTATAATATGTATGAGTATTGTGACGATCCTGGGCTGGTGCGTCAGTTAGTTGTCAAGGTGTTAGAACAAACACAAGGTTATTTGTTTAGTTTAACGTAGTAAAAACTGAGAGAGTGGCTTGCAATAATTTGAGCATAACCAAAACTCTAGCGTCCGGTACTTTGTACTCCACTTGGGTATTCAACAATCAAGAAAATGCAACCTTCTAAAGAAATTGTTTAAGTTAGGTTAGGTTGTAAATAATTGTTAACACATTCCATCAATAATTTTAATTAATTTTAATTACATATACGTGATAAAAACTAGGTTAAGAAACAATGTAATAAACAACCCAACATCAGTATGTGTTAATGTGTATATGTGTATTGTGTATAGTGTTGCTATTGTGTGCTGATCGTCTGTTGTGTGTTTCAGAGTCTCTACAAGCTCCCAGATTCATCACTCAGCCGTCCGGCTCCAGCAACATCGTCAGCGAGGGCAGAACCAAGATACTCCAGTGTCAAGCATTGGGTGAGTGCAAGTAAACTAACCAACTATATATGTTCTCACAAATGAATATCTGTTTAATATAATGCATCCCACGCTTTTCTGACTTTCGCTTCCCTGATCATTTATAGTGGGTAATATCACAAACAAGGGAACAAGTCTGGTAATACTTTCTTGCTGATTTACACGTTAGACCACATAATAAATTTAAAAATAGATGCACAAATGTGTAAGCAATAAATCTTAAATGGTGTTCATCTTCAACATTATAAATGTTACCGGTAGGTTTTGAAAACCACAAAATGTTTTAAAGAATGAAACCAACTGAATTCCCAGAATATACCGAATGAAAACTAATTCTCAGCATGTGAGCTACGCCAACATATTAATAGATGGATTGATACAATATTAGTTTTATAAGAAAGAACGGACGGCGAGAGTTAATCCCCTTAATCCTCATTGTAACATGGGATTTGCTGTATTGATAATGGACCCATTAATTCGTATGTTCTCTCTCTGTGGATACATTTTGTGGCCAAAAGTCATTCTACGCCAGCCGTGGTATTGTATTACTTAATCAAGCTTTGAGAAATATCGCATTTTTCACCAACGTGGTTTTTAGAATTCGTGTACGAACGTATGCACACCTCTAAATCCTTGGAAACCGTATTCATATTCTGTGTTTATACTTAAGTACAAACGGAAGAGACACGCTTTCTTTGTCAAATGGTTTATTTCAAATATTGAACTATTTCCTATTTCAACTATAAAACAAAATAACCATGACCATGGAGAAGATGAAGTGAACTATGAACTAACTATGAACTATAATACGAAAAAACGTTGCTCTGTCCTGTGAACAAACCTCATTAGTCATTGCTCGGCTCTATGTCAGCTTGTGCAAGTATTGATTTACCTTACCGAGGTCATATTTCTACGCTACAAAAACATTATATTTACCTAGTTAACAATAAAACTGCAATTAGGTGAAACACATTGTTGAATCGCGCATGCACATTCTATGGGTCCCGAACAATAAAAGGGCAGAACCTGCTGAGTTATTGCTTTATATCATACGCGACAAAATGAAACAGTCGTATTTCTCTTTGAGTGTACACAGTAGCGCGTCAACTAGCGTATTGCATTCAAATCACAACAGGCATTTCCTGTAAACGCCCCACCTCATCCGTCTGTTTATACGCCTTGTGTTTTCATAATATCACCATGTTTCCATATGCTGTTACTTATATTTTGCCACTTTCGTTTGGGAGTTTTTACTTTATATATATGATCAAACAGTAAAACCATGGTTTGGTTTTAAATAGTATTTCTCACTATCCCATTCCTAAGAGCCGTTGAATTAAATTGTATATGGCTTATTTATAGTTTAGCATTAACAGTATTTCGTTCCGGTCGTGTTTGATTAACCTTACTCAAATGTGATCTGATACTGTTTGGGAATAACATATTTCCATAGCATGACAACATCGATAGGTAGACCAGGATTTTCAGGATTAAAGGGAAGACTGTTACACAAACACGAAAACATCCCTTATACATGTGCACAAAATGTAAACATGTATCATTTTGCAATCTTCTTAGGTAGCCTAGTTCGTGCTGTATTTTTAATTGAATTTTCATAAATTCAATGTCTGAATTTAATTGTACTAGAGGACCCATGCTGCTCCGCAGCGATAAAATGAATATATATCCGAGATATAGGCCTAACCAAGTTCATGATTTTTGATTGAGTAAAACAGTATCTTGAGCTTAACTGATTCAAACGATCAATAGCTCAAATTAAAGCCTATAATTGACTGATTATTTTGAGTCTAAAACGTATAAAAAACCTAAGCATTACTGGAGCTATTGATTGTTACTCATAGAAATACCTTATATAAAAAAAATGTTTGTTGTTCACCTTGCGTTTGCTTGAAACTCGCCCGATTTGAAAAACTAATAGCTTAAATGAAAGCCGGTATTTCTCTGGAGGTTGTTAGACCAAAATATATAGGATTATATAATTATATAACTGGTGAAATACATCTTAAATTGAAGAAAGAATCCGAAAATGAATCAAATTACGTTTTTTGGTCGAACAATACAGTAGGTAAATATATGCCGATGCTTGATGGCAAATCGGTGCGTGCATACCTTCAATTTGAGACCTCAATCATGAAAATCGGTCGGGTAGAAGGGCCAATCGAACTTGGAAAAGAGAAACCAAATTTAACTCCCATAAGAAATACATGGGGAGCAAATTTCTTTTACGTATAAGCCTAGTGGGATTATAGATAAATATATGCCGATGCTTGATGGCAAATCTGTGCGTGCATACCTTCAATTTGAGACCTCAATCATGAAAATCGGTCGGGTAGAAGAGCCAATCGAACTCGGCAAAGATAAACTAAATTTAACTCCTATAGGAAATACATGGGGAGCAAATTTCTTTTACGTATAAGCCGAGTGGGATTATAGATAAATATATGCCGATGCTTGATGGCATATCTGTGCGTGCATACCTTCAATTTGATACCTCAATCATAAAAATCGGTCGGTTAGAAGAGCCAATCGAACTCGGCAAAGATAAACCAAATTTAACTCCCATAAGAAATACATGGGGAGCAAATTTCTTTTACGTATAAGCCGAGTGGGATTATAGATAAATATATGCCGATGCTTGATGGCAAATCTGTGCGTGCATACCTTCAATTTGAGACCTCAATCATGAAAATCGGTCGGGTAGAAGAGCCAATCGAACTCGGCAAAGATAAACCAAATTTAACTCCCATAAGAAATACATGGGGAGCAAATTTCTTTTACGTACCAGCCGAGTGGGATTATAGATAAATATATGCCGGTGCTTGATGGCAAATCTGTGCGTGCATACCTTCAATTTGAGACCTCAATCATGAAAATCGGTCGGGTAGAAGAGCCAATCGAACTCGGCAAAGATAAACCAAATTTAACTCCCATAAGAAATACATGGGGAGCAAATTTCTTTTACGTATCAGCCGAGTGGGATTATAGATAAATATATGCCGATGCTTGATGGCAAATCTGTGCGTGCATACCTTCAATTTGAGACCTCAATCATGAAAATCGGTCCGGTAGAAGAGCCAATCGAACTCGGAAAAGAAAAACCAAATTTTTTTAATATATAAGATACTTAGTTGACTATGTCATTGTTGTATCATCTTTGTTTTAAGTAATAACGCGAATTGGTGCTACCAAATCAACCAGATGAACAGAGGCCCTGGATTTAGAACATACCGTTTCATCAACTCATTTCCTTTTTATTGTCGTCCATTAAAAAAATATATTTATTTTGAATCAGTCCCCAACTTTAAGATCAACGCATTACCAATGGACTTCAATAAGCCTTGTTTGTAACTTGCTTGACTTATCATGTTCAATGCATGTTTTTTGTATAGTTTCCCCGTGTGAAAGTGTTCAATAGAAAAACTGAGGGAGCTCACATATAACGATGTCGTCTTACTACCGTGATAGAGCGAGCCGAGGAGGGTTCTGGATGCAATAAAGTCAAACTTAGTTCGCTAAGGATAAAACTATCTTCCAATCACCAGCGACAACGTACATGGGGCCATTCAAGTTGGTATTTGTATGTCTATGGTGATTAGTGGTTTCAGAGTATATAATAACTATAGGATTAAAGGATTTTTTTTTATCTTACCTTTAAGGGAAAAATATTATAGCTGCACTGTAGCTTGATCAAACACTCTCATATAAAATATTACAGTACCACCATTCGATTTCATTTCAAATACTTTTGAAAATAGAATATATTTAATCAAACGTTTAATGTGCCAGAACTACAAACCCGTTTAATAAAATAGGGGACAAACACACGTGCTTACTCCCTGTGGTGTTTGGCTGTGGTGGCCGTTGCCAACAAATTAAATTTTAATTTGTTCCAACCTGTGTCTAGCTTGTATGTAATAAACGTTCTCAAAGTGGGATATTTTTAATATCCCTGGTGGTGGTGGTTTATATCTGATTGCTTGTAATAAAGTGAAACAAATAAGTGTAAACGTTCTATACCTTCTGCATGCGGTGCTTTTCCTGTTAAAGTTTTGTGAAAGTGGTCTGTTTGGTACACAGGCAATACAAGTAATGTAAACCATCAACCAAAGCAAAGCGTGCTTCAACTGCCACTATAAAGATACAGGGCGTATTTTATGTCTAGAAGTGGCAGTCCTGACTGAGCGGTATACCATTGCCAACTTCAAGTTTTAATGATCGTAATAAATACACTACTTGAGCCCCTATAGCCTTTGAGTAAACCCTCAGTTTTATCGTTGAAACTATTACTGTAGTTGGTAAAATAATACCCTCCTAGCTCTTTTAACTCTCCTCCAATGGATCTTTTAATAGAAGGGCTTCGTCTTACACTACTTTATTTATGCCTGATTGAATCAGTATTTTATTATATACGTTATCTTAGAATGTCTTGTTAATACCAATAAAGTAAACACCAAATACATTTTGTCTTAACAATTTAATTATTGTTAGAATATTATTAGGTTAGATTTAAAAGGTTAGGACACAATAGCTATTTATTTTGCACAGTAGTTGTAATGTTTCATCAGATAATCCTCGAGTTGTATATCTTGCTCTTGCACAATGCACATAGCCTTCCAGCTGTATATTTCCCTAGCTTTAATTCCGACAGTCGTTTATTTTTCTTGCACATACCCATCAGTTGTTTATTTTGCTGTCACATATCTTTAAGCTATTTTGTTTCTGAGCGTGTTCAATATTTGTCAATTCAGTCCGTTCAATCATTTATTTACTAATGGTTGGGTATAATATGCTTCAGTTACCTTATTCCTCATCATGCATCTCACAGGTGTTTAGTGTCCAAGCACAAGTCCTGCTGTAATTTAATTTCTCAGCAGACATTCTACTTAGTGTTTAGTTTCGTGTTACAGTATATATCTTCCCGTTGTATTCCCAGCTTTCGTTCCAAGCTGTGTAGATCCACAACACTTAGCGTTTAGTGC